AACTGCTTACTCTGTGGCAGGCAATTTTGCCTTTATTTAAGCATGTTATGCTTCCTTAACTATAAGGAAGTCGTGGTACATGCCAGTAATACAGCCCTTAGGAGGGTGAGGCAGGAGGATTGCAAATTCAAGCCCAGTCTGGGCCCACTTGGGAGGCCTTGTATCAAAATAAAAAGCAAAAAGGTAGGTCAGTGCTAAAACCCTGGGTTCAATTCCTTGTACAAAAAAAAAAAAAGCACAAACGGCAACAACAACAAAAACAAAACCCAGAGATAGATAGTAATAGCTCCATTTGATAAATGAAGAAACAGGCACGGAGATCACCAGCTGATGAGTGAGGAAGCCAGGATTTGTGCTATTCTGCACCACAATACAATACTGTGTCTCCCATCATAGAGCTGTAACAAGTTCAAACTCTATATTAGTAAAAACCACAGGCTGTATTTAGTGAGTGCTCCCTGGACCAAAAGCCCTGAATGTCTGGGCTGTGCACACCACACCACACCACACCACGCTGAAGCTCTGCTGGGACATGTGACTGCCAGATTGTAAATCGGCACCAGTAATGAACTAGATAGGCAGAGTTTAAAATAGGAAATATGGTTTATTTGGAAAATGGCATAAAAACAAAGGAAAGCTATCCTGGAAGACTAGGGAGCATCAAAAAGTGAATACCCATGGGGTTTTTTCCCTCAGCTCCTTTTTATTGAGACTGGTGTCCCTGCCCCACACTAGGCCTCTGGAACTTGCTGCAGTCTGATTGGCTCTCTGCCTGTCTTTGGCTCTAGCTTGGGTGCCTCTGTCTACATCCTTTTGGCCATTTGATTTCTTCCTGCCCTTTTGGGATGGGTAAGTGTGGGGAGGGGGAGCCTCACAGAGAGTACCTTAGAGTTTGCAGTGAAGTAAAACGGACATGTGTGTATCTGGTGCAGTGGTACAGTGATGCTAAAGTGGGACTATACATGTCCGTGTGTATGTATAGGTGTGTGTGTCTTTTATATATTAAATAAGAGTCCTTTGGTGGCCGTCCCTTGCCTGCATTTTATTTGGCCAGGTGAAGGTGGGGACTGGTTATCCTGGCCTTTCTTATTCCTGGCTACAACCCTGTTGTGGCTGCCAACTCTTCCTGCTAAATTCTTTTGTTAATTGTGTTACTTGGGTCTGGTTTCCTTCTCTTTCTTTACCTTTGTCTTTGTAATTGCTGGAGTCCAACTGCAGAGCCAAAAACTGCCTTTAGTAAGATTTTCTACTAATTTCTTTAATAAAGCTTAATGAGATACTATTTTATCCCCCTACTCCCATGATCTCTGTCCCTACAGCTCTCAGGATTTTTCTTTTCTCTTCTCTTCTCTTCTCTTCTCTTTTCTTCTCTTCTCCTCTCTTCTCTTCTATTTTCACTGAACCCAGGGCCTTCACACTGAGCTACATGGCCAGTTCCTTTTCTTTTTTTCCTTTTTGTTTTTTGCCTGAAATGTCTTTCTCTTTTTTGGTACTGCGAATTGAATTCAGGGCCTCACACTTAGCAGGCAGGCACCGTGCTGCTGAGCTACATCCCTGGCCCTGGAGGCAAAGTCTTATTAACTTATCTAGGCTGGGCTCGAACTTATAATCATCTTGCCTCAGCCTCCCAGAGTGCTGGGGTTACGGGCGTGCGCCAGCAGGTCTAGCTTCATGAGCCATCTTATTTTAGCTTGAGCACTGCCTGTGAGGTAGGTATAGTACTTCACTCAGGCCAAGGGCAAAAGCCAGCGGCTCCCTTCCCACAGCGGGGGCTAGAGGCCCCAAAACCTCTGGTCAGCCCAGGTGGTACACTGACCCTGCTGACCAGGGCTGAGGCTGGGAGCCCCACAGGTGGACTTTTCAACACACCACCACCCACAACCCCCAGAGCAGGACAAGGAGGACTTCAGCAGCTTCCAGCTGGCAGCGGAGGTTGTGCTGCAGAGGACTGCTGAGACGGAGCTTCAGAAGCAGCAGGATCTAGCACTCGCATTGCTGCACACTCCCATCCCTTTAATCTCTGAGAACCCCAAGTAGGCATCTGCCAACAGGGGTGCTCAAGGCTGGAGCCAGCTGTCCTGGGTTCCCGGTTCGCTTCCTTCCTTTCTGTGGATCACTGCCGAGCATCAGGATCATCTCCTCCATCCAGCGGTCTTAGCAGGAAGATGCCAGCTGGTGTCACTGCACTGTGATGGGGACCTCTTCTATGCTGACTCTGCCATTTCTCCAGGCCTCATCAGTGATGAGACCAAGGGACTGGAGACAGGCATGGTGCTGCTGCTGCTTCCCCAGAGAACCCTGGGACACTCTGGTTCCAGCCTGCTTTCCTGGGCTGGACTCAGGAAACCTGCCAAGTTCAGACCTCTCTGGGTCCAAGCTGCCGCTGAGCTGTACCTCTTTCTGTCAAGCCAGGTGTGGACATTCCAAGTTCGTAAGTGTGGACAAAAGAGGAACTCAGCAGCTGTAACAGGACCAACTCCAGTTGAATGTTTAGGTGTTCAATAAACTGTTAATTTTTCCTTTTTTGCTGTGTTTTGCATTACCAGCAGTAGTTATTCCAGGTGTGGGGAATGAGAACGTTGCATGATAGAGTCTGATAAACGGAGATTTATCCACCACTGCCACTGAGGATTATTGTGTACAGAAGTATTTCTTATTTTGGGGGCCAGCTAAATCTCTGCAGTAGCACAAAATTTCAAATGGTTTTGGTGTTGGTTTCCCACCCACAACACAAGCCCACTGCCTTTGGGGAAAAAAAAGCAAGGGGGATGCATGGGCACTGGCTTGTTTGCATTAGGCACAGAAAAGGATGAGGCCACAAACAAGGGAGAATCCAATAGAATCGGACAGAACCCAGACTTAGGGCAGAGAAAAATGGTAAGAACCACAGAAGTGTTTGTTTTTATTTTTCTTTTTGCTGTATTTGGGGGGGGATAAGTAAACTAGACTAAGATGGTGATTTTCTTTTTCTTTCATTTTAATGTCATGCCCTTCTTTGTTCAAGGTTTTATCTTATAGCCTTAGTGCTGAGTCCCTTTGGGAAGGTGGCTAGAACATCAGAGGTTCCAGCATCCCCTTCTTGGAGAGAAGTGAGCCATCTGCTGGTCAGGAAGCCCTTCTCGCTACTCCCACAGGCAGCTTTTCCCAACGGGCATCTTTTCCCACAGCCAAGGCAGAAGGTATTCTGGAGGAAGCTTGAGTGTGCTTGATTCACCTTTCTGTAAACTGGAGTGGCAGGAGCCTGCCTGAGTTTCCCAGTGAAACGGATAGTATTTGGTCTTCATCTCCCTCTCTCTCTTGATCTTGCTGTTCCATTGCTGATAGTGTTCAGCAGCAGTACATCCCATCTTTCTATATTCTAAGAAACACTAATCTTAGATTTTTATTAGCTGGCATATTTTTGTTCTTACTAACATTGTTACTGGGCCAAAAAATAGGCCAGGAGCCCCGGTCTATAGTTTCCTGAAATTGCCGGGTTGGGCATAAGGGAAGGGGCTCCTGGGTGTTGACTGACTCGGATGGACCTGGCCAGAAAAATACAAAATGCATCCTCTGTCCTTTTAGGAAGACCCCAGCGCCCTCAGGGGTCTTCACACACTCTTGAGTGGCTTGGCTCACCCCTTCCCTGTGGGAGTGGGAATAGATTTTTTTTTTTAACTGAAAGTAAGTTGTCTCTTGGTAGGCAAGATTCCTGGGCTCTGGTCCATCTCCTTTCAGCCCCTTCCTCCTGTACCCCAGGGGATCAAGGGTCCTCATATCCGGAGGCTTAGCTAAAGAGTGAACATGGCAGCTTCAGAGCTAGTTGAAGCTGCTATCTGCCCATCTCGTCCAGCAAGCCATGTCTGTGAGTGAGCCCTGGACCAGTGTGACTATAGCAGGGGACTTGGAGTATACTGGGCTGAACGGGATTTTCTTTCCCCACAGAGCACTGAGGAGGAGAGTGATGAGGAGTGAGGGAGCCATGCTGCTGAATTCTCTTTGGCATTCCCCTCTTATGTAAAATGGGGTGTCTGGGGGGTGTGGCAGCCTCTGCTTGAGTTGGTTATAAGACGCACCTGGAGGAGAAGCAGTTGTCCCATTCAATTATTTGAGCAAACAACTACTGTAAATAACCTGTTTTTGTCTTTTGTCAAATAAAGTTGTTTTATTTTTATTTTTAAAAACAAACACAAAAACAATAAAAACAATACAGGAGTTCCAAGCAAAATGATAGGAACTAACATGGTTGTCATATTACATATTGTTATCTTCAACGAAGTTGCTCAGATCACCAGATGTAAGAATGCAAGATTGATCAGACAATTAAAGACAATAACAAGTAACTAAAAAAAAAAAAAAAAAAAAAAAAAACATTAGAAATGATTCAGAGCTTCACCAAACAAGATGGTAGGGATTCACCAATGGTTGTTACCCTGCATATTGTTGTCTCAGATTAGTTGTTCCCTGTTTCAGTTTTATTCATTGAGTCAACAAATGTCAAAAAAAATTAAGCATTACATGTTCCTTTCACTAAGCCATCAAACATTGGCAATACAACTCTCCCAGCTATCCTTCTGTATATATATATATTTCCCCCCTTCTTTCTTTCTTTTTTTCCCTTTTTCTCATCCCAGTTGTTCCTTCCCTTTGAGCAATTTCTTTCCCTTTCACAACCTTTATTGTACCTTTTGGCTTTTATTTACCCTTTCAGGTTCTTACACCAGGAAGACAGTATGATGTTTACACACTTGAGTCCGATTTATTTCACTCCGTTGAAGATAACAATATGTAATATAACAACCACTGTTAATTCCTACCATTTTGTTTTGAACTCCTGTATCTTATTGTTTTTGTCTATCTTGCTGTTATTTTATTTATTTTTTTAATTCTCTTTAAAATAAAATTTAAAAAAAAAAAAACTACATATCCACTCCTTTCCTGCCATGTACTTGGCACTGTAACTGAAAAGGAAAGTCACAAAATCCCCACCCTCCTTTTGTTTGGAAACGGAGAGTAAAAAATCAGAACCTATAGCACCACAGGTGGTGATAGTGACTAAAATAAAGTAAGGAGGAGGTATGGGAGATGCTAAGGCCGAGGGCAAGGTGATCGTAAGTGGAGAAGGTGCAGGAAGGCCTCCCAGAGGTGAGTACAGGAGGGAGCCATGTGGGCATGTTAGGGCAAAGCCCTGCAAGCAAAAGGAGCAGGGGGTGCAAAGGCCGTGGGGTGGGGTAGTCTGCGTTCCAAGGAGAGCCAAGGGGCCCGGGACGCCCTGGGCTTGAGAAAGTGAGAGCGGGAAGGGGGTTGAAGAATTCGAGGTGACTTAGCTAGCAGACGGCAGGGCAGAGACTAGCGCAGCGCCAGTAGATTCTCAGGGCGCACTTTGTGTGTGTGCGGTGCTGAAAGAGCTGATGTGCAAAGCAAACCGGCAGTCTCTCAGTCGGAAAATGAAGTCGTGAAGGAAAAGGAGAAAGTGAGGAGAATATCGATTAGAAATAAGAACAGGAAGCGCTCCTGTTGCCAGACTGGGACACCAAAGGGAAGTCATAAAACAAAACAAAACAAAAGAAAGAAACAAAACAAATGGAAATCATTACATAGATAAGCAGAGGGCGGGAGCTTGTCGTAAACAGGTGGCCTTACAGCTTTGAGGTCTAAAGAATATCAGTGATTTAGCTGATTCAAAGGGAATAAGTTACTCTGCATTTTTAAATTTTTCTAAGTCCAGCCAGGAAGGAGAAGGGAGTGTCAACAGACTTAGGGTACTCTGCATAAGAACATTTCTTTCCTGGGAGGAAAGGTTCCTATCTCTCATTCCTATCCTAACCTTTCATCTTTTTTCTCGTGTTTTCTTTTATATTTTAAAGCTGAACCAGCTGCTTGAATTAGCTCTGAACTTGGTGTGTGTTATATATCTTTATCCAGCTGACTAGCTTAGTTGATTCTGTCTCCTTAGAGGTTAAATAACTAAGCTGTTCTAATAGTGGGGCTTGAACCCAGAGCCATCATGATGAGCTGCATCATCACCCCTAAGCTACATCCCCAGCCCTTATTTTACTTTATTTTACTTTACTTTATTTTATTTTATATTGACAGGATCTCACTAAACCATAAGTCAGTCTGGATTCAAACTTGCAAACCTCCGGCTCCCAAATGTTGGTAAAACACTGAAGCGCTTCCCAGGCAGGCCAGCAAGTACCTGCTGCCCCGAGGGTCCCCCCATATGGCTCTGGTCCCTGCCGGAACCCCCAGCGTTCCCCAGAACCCAGCACCTAATGGGCTTACACTGCCCCCAAAAGGGCCCGCTGTGTCTGGTGTGGATCTGGTCGAGCAGGGGTGGACGGCTGTAATCCCCGGCCCCACCTGGCGCCGTGATGTGGCAGCGCTGGAAGGAGGAGGGGGCTGCAGCTCAGGGAAGCACGGTCACGTGTAGCCAGCAAAGCCGCTGGGGCCGGCCCCAGCCAGGCCCTTTCTCGGGTGACATTCCCATGCCAGGCCTCCTGAGAGTGCTCCTGTGAGAGCAAATAAACACCCTGCAAACAAGCCTTTAATCTGCAGAGGAATTTCTCCAGGTAGGAGGCCCTGAGCTCAGCACCTGTGCTCTGCCCTCTGGTCAGCCTTCCCGGGGATCTGCTGGTCCCCACCAGGTTGTGCTCCAAAGCACATCAGCTCTTCGCCCACTCCCTCCCGGGAGAGTACTGTAGTTTGTATGTTTTGTGCCCCACAAAGGTTCACATGAAGGAAGTAACATCCCTAGCATAGTAGCTGTGAGAGGTGGCAGAAAATTTATAGAACAGTTAGGTGATGAGGCTCCCAGCTCACGAATGGAATATTTTTCTCAGGAGACTAAATTGGGCTCTCTAGGGATTCAATTAGTTACCAACAGAGCCTGGGTCTCTGAATGAGCTCACAGAAGTCCATTCACCAAGCAGACACCCTTCCTTAGATTTTACTGAGTGAGGAGTAAGCTTTTATCGAGTCAGTGAGCTTTGGAGGTCTGTTGGTTACAGCAACTAGTGGAGTTTTGTTTTGCTTTGTTTTGCCTTACTTTTTGCAGTGTGAGGAATTGAACGTGGGGCCTCATACATGCAAGAAAAGTACTGTACCACTGAGCTCCATTCCCAGCCCTCTCCCCTCTCCCCTCTCCCCCTAATTTTGAGACACAGCCTCACTAAATTGCCCAGGCTGGCCTCAAATTTGCAATCCTGCTGCCTCAGCCTCCTGAGTGCTGAGATTACAGACATACACCACCACACCTGGCTAACATTCCCTTTCATAGATGAGGACAGACTTAGAAAAATGGGAGATGCTGACTCCAAAATGCATGGCCCTGCTGAATTAGCTAGGCTAAGTGCCACTAGTTGAGCTGGGTGTGCTGGCACATGCCTCTAATCTCAGTTGCAGCAGAGGCTGAGGCAGGAAGATCGCCACCTGTTTGAGGCCAGCCTGGGCTGCATAGTGAGTTCAAGGCCAGCCTGCACTACATAGCGAGACCCTGCCTCAAAAAAACAAAAACAGAGAGAAGGTATCCGCAGGGCTGGTTCTTTCCAAGGGCTGCGGGGAGAATGTTCCGGGCCTCTCCCCTCACATTTGGCGGGCTGCTGCCAATCTCTGGCATTCCATGGCTCGTAGATACATCACCCGTCTCTGATTTCATCTTCATGCATCTGCCCCCTATGTATTTCACAGTGCCTAAACTTCCCTTTTTCTTTTCCTCTTGGCAGTACTGGGAATTGAACACATGAAGCCATATCTCCATCCTTTTTTTTTTTTTAAATTTTATTTGAGGCAGATCGTACCAAGTTATTAAGTTGCCCAGGCTGGGCTCAAACTTGTAATCCTCCTGTCTCAGCCTTCAAATTTTTCTTTTTTAGAATGACAGTCGTGTGGAGCTCAAGGCTGCCTCATAACCCAAGTACAGCTTCGCGTAAGCATCTGCAAAGACTCGGTCCCCAAATAAGGTCACACTTACTGGGGCAAGGAGCTAGGGTTACACTGTCTTTTGCAAGGTCACAATGCAAACTGCAACAGTGGCGGAGACGCAGAGAAATGGGTGTGTTTAGTAGACACCTGGGGAAGAATCGGCAGGATGTGCAGATGGGTTGCTTGGGGAAAGGGGCAGGGAGGTAACTCCTGGAAGAAGCTGGGGTTCTGGCTAGGATGCTCTCATGAAGAGAAGGTTCCTAAATACACCGAGGGCTGGCAGCTGCCCTGCTCTTGCCAACTCTCGGTGACCATGTGAAAGGCAGGGCCTGAGCAGCCTTCCACGGGGACACTGGCCAGGACTGCACCGCGCTGGCAGGGTGAAGTTGAAAGAAGCACCCCATTACGGACTCAATAGTAGAGTGCTTTTGGTTGGTTGGTTTATTTTGAGACAGGGTCTCACTCTGTAGCTCAGGCTGCCCTTGAACTTGCAGGTCCCTCCTGCCTCAGCCTCCCGAACACTGAAGTTACAGGTGTGCCCTACCACCATGCCCGGCTGACCTTGGAATTTTATAATTCGTGTGTGTGTGCGGTCCTGGGATTGAACCCATAGTCTTTGCATTGAGCTACATCCCAGCCCTTTTTTTTATTTTTTATTTTGAGGCAGGGTCTCATTAAGTGGCCAAGTTGTCCAGACTGGGTTCAAATTTCCTATCCTCCTGTCTCAGCCTCCCAGAGCACTAGGATTATAAGCTTATGCCACCATACGCAATTACCATGAATATTTTAAATTTTAAGATTAAAGATTCTTGAATAACAATAAACATTTACAGAGCACTTCCAAGTCCGAGAGTGCACCAAACAATTCACATTCCCAGACTTATTTACCCTTCCGTTGCATCTTCTCCTCACTGACACCAATATTTGTTTTTGAGAAAGGGTCTCACTAAATTCCCCAGGCTGGCCTCAGCCTCCTGAGCTCAGTCGCTCCTCCCGCCACGGCCTCCCAAGGAGCTGGGACTACAGTAGGCGAGCACTACCGCACCAAGCGCAGTACTGTTATGATTAACAAGGCTCATAACAACCGTGCTCCCGTTCAGCACCTGCTGTGAGTCAGCACTGCCTGGGCGTCTGGCGGGCATTGCGTAACGTGGCTGCCACTCCACAGAGACAAACAGAGGCTAAGACACTAGTCCAAGGTCACCTGCAACAAGTAGGCAGCAGGCGTTTGAATCCAAGCCTGCGGTCTGTCTTCAGAGTCCACCTTGGAATAGCCCAAGGGTCACCTCCCTTACCCCAACACTTGAAGGAATCATGGGCCAGAGAAGAAGGGTCTGGTGCGCGGTCCCCACACAAGCTGGGTGACAGCCACGAGGAAGAGGGAGAGCTCCGGCTCAGGGCCCTGCTTCTGTGGACATTCTTTCGTGCATAGCTTTCACGCCCTTGCTGAGCAGGACACAAACACTTAGGACAGGTGCCCTAAATTCCTGAGGGATTCTCCTGAAACTAACACCTGCCCGCTCCATGCTCCCTACAGAACCGATGCCTCTAGCTGGTCACCTCAACCCCTCAGGGCCATCCCTGGGGCTTTTTTTTTTTTTCTTGGTTTTTCTCCGGTACCCAGGCTGTGCTCAAACTTGTGTTTCTTCCGCCTCAGCCTCTCAGAGAGCTTGGATTAGAGGTGAGCACCACCAAGCCCAGCTTTCTCTGTGCCTTCTAAAGAGGGGGACTAGCCAGGTGGGCTGGCGCACACCTGCAATCCCAGCACTTAGGAGCCTCAGGCAGGAGGATCACTGAGAGTTCAAGGACAACCTGAACTACACAGCAAGACACTGTTTCAAAAAATAAAATAAAGAGGAAAACTGTGTTCAAATCCTTGCCTTGCCTGTGTGGTCTTCCTGAACACCCTTCCCCTCCCTGTACCTCAGTTTCTCGTAAAATGAGAGCGGCATAGACGGAAGCCACTCAAAGAGGAGTAGATCTGAGGTAACTGCTCTACGCTCTGGTTCCAGACCCGCCACTCAGGAGCTGCGTGAACCTGGAAAATGTCTGAACCTAGGGTTGTCTGTCGTTGGTGTCTGTTTTTGTGGACGTGGCCTCTGCAGTCTATTGAGTCCCAGTGAGCTAACGGGCACAGGAGGGGAACAGGGCCTCCTCGTAAGTGTGCAGTAGCTGGGCCAGGTGCGCCGGGACATCCGCTTCTTGGCACAGCAAGTTGCCCTGCAAGTTGAGGAGGAACAGCCATGGGAAGGAGGCAAAAGGCCAGAAGGCTGCAGGCTGCTGGAGGCCCACAGGGTTGTTTGAGACTCCGTGAGGACGTGAGGGTGCCACGCCCGGCAGATAAGAGCGCCTCCAAAAGAAGGCATTCTCTCCCCACTCTTCTAATAAACCAGACGCCATCATGGAGAGGGGGCTTGAGGCACTGCGATAGGGGACCCTGAGTCTCCAGAGCTGGACGGGGATCCAAGGCGCTCTGATCCCACGTGGAGTCTTGTGACCCAGAGCCTGAGCCCCATCTGCTGTGCAAAACGGTGTGCGCAAGGCCAGGGACGGGGGCTGCAAAGGAACTGACCGGAAGTAGAATAAATGCAGACGGAAGTTTATTGAAACACAGGCTGTGAGAGACAGCGGGCTGTCAGCACAGGGGACCACGAGAGGGCGCTCCCCGGGCGAGCCTTTATTCGGGTGCTGACCCGGGCCAGGGACCACGGCGTGTTCGTGAGATTGAGCAAGCGCGAACAATAGGTTATTTTTGGTATAGGGTAGACAGCCCGTGTGACATAGGCTGTACAGGATGACAACAGGCCAGGAGATATCCTGAGAAAATGGACAACTGGTAAGCAGAACCCCAAGCCTTGCTTTAGCCCAAGCACTGACCTCAGAGGGTGGTCACCTTCTGACCCGGTCACATCTCAGGGTCCAGACAAGCTTCTGGCTCCACGGAGACTCCACCCTCAGCCTGAGCCATGAATGGTACCTCAGCGGAGGACCAGCAAGAGCGCAGCCCAGGAGACAGCACACCATGCGTCGCTGGTTAGAGGCGAAGGAGAACATGTGTAGACCTGACAGGTTCCATCCAGGCAGGTTTTGGAAAACTGACCCACAGAGGTTCTCTGGGCTGTTAGCAAAATGTACGAGTGTAGTGCTAAGGGTTCATTTTTACTGAGGGCCTTGGGAAGCCATAGAGGGCTTTAAGCAGGGCAGGGTCGTGATCACATTTGTGCTTTTTTAGAAAATCACTCCAAATCAGGCGCCGTGGTGCACACCTGTAATTCCAGCACTCTAGGAGGCTGAAGCAGAAGCTTCAAAAATTCAAACCCAGAGCGGGGATATAGCTCCGCGGCGCAGCGCCAGCCTGGCAAACGCAAGGTCCGGAGTTCAATTCCTGGTACCCACAAAAAAAAAAAAAAAAAATCAAACCCACCCTGGGCAATTTAGCAAGTTAGCAAGACCTCGTCTCACAATAAAGTAAAAACTAAAAAATAAATTAAACGTAGTTCAACAGGAAGGCCCTGGATTCAATCCCCAGTTTAAAAAACAAACAACTACAAAAAATAACACACACACACACACACACACACACACACACACACACACACAAATCCTCATCTCCTAGGAAGACTGCGCCCTCTAGTGGCAGAAGGGAAGGCACGGACTAAAACTGCTTGGGTTGAGAAAGCGCTCACTTTGGGAATTTTCAAGTGACTTCACTCTCACCTTTCCCGAATTTCACACTCACCTGGACAGGTGAGAGAAGGACACTGAAGCGGATGCAGCCCCACAGAAAGGTGTCCCCAAACGTATGCATCAAAGTCTACACTAGGCGCTTTACAGTGTTGTCTCCGAATCATCCTGACAACTCGGAAGTTCTCTCCAGTTTAGACATGAATTAAATGTTGCGAAACTACAGTAATGTCTCAGCTAAAGTAATAGTAAAAGCTCTCAGCGAGGCAGAGGCAGAGCCGTTTTCAAACTTAGGGCTGAGTTCCCAATGGAGCTTGGCGATAGCGCCACCTGCTGGTAACTTCTCTGCACTGCTTCTGGTCCAGAGTGCATGGAGATACAAATTCTAACCAAGGGCTGGACGGAGGTGCCGCTCAGGGATAGAGCGCTTCACCCTACAGCACTGTGGGTTCGACCTTCAGTGCCACAGCAAAAAGGGAAGGAAAAAGAAAACTTTCTTCCAGTTGTAGTGGCTCACGCCTATGCACCAATCGGGAAGTTTAGGCAGAAGGATCACAAGTTCAGGCCAGCCTGGGGCCATTTCGCAAAACACTGTCTCAAAATAAAACTACAAAAAGGGCTGGAGACACATCTCTGCCTAGGCAGTCTCCGGGTTCAATCCCCAGTACCGCCAGAAAAAAGAAGAAAGAATAGCGCACACTTGTAATCCCAGCACTCGGGAGGCTGAGGCAGGAGGATCGCTGCAAGTTCAAAGCCAGCCTGGGCTAAAAGGTGAGTTCAAGGCCAGCCTGAACTGCATAGTGAGACCCTGTCTCAAAAAGACAAAAAAAAAGAAAAGAAGGAAGGAAGGGAGGGAGGCAGAGAGGAGGGAGGGAAGAAGGGAAGAAAGGAAAAGGTGCTTAGTGCGGAGTCCAGGGGAGACTTGGTGCCACTTTCCACCTGACATTTCCCAGAGGAGTCATGTGGGCAATGCTTCCTTTTTCCAGCGACAGCGTGTGCCGACACGGACGAATGTTGCCAGCCCCGGAGGCTCACAGCCCTGGTGTCCGAGGTGTCCCTGGCATCAGCGACATAGGTGTGGAGCACCAGCCGGCCCGACCTTAATGCGTCCTCTCCAACCACAGAGGCCAGACTTGTACAGTGGTCCAATCCCAGCATTCACCATGAACCACATTGTCAGCATCAGCGATCTGATATGCCCGAGTATGGAAAGACACCACTGTCAAGCAGAATATCTCAAGCACTTCCTTTGGAATGGGCAAGGTGTGTGAGGACCCTAAACTTTTTTTTTTAACACAGTACTCGAGAATGAACCCAAGGTGTTCACACTGAGCTACATCTCCAGTCCCCCCTCCCATTTTTTTTTTTTTTTTTTTTGAGCCAGGGTCTCACCAAATCGCGAGGTTGCCCAGGTAGAGCTCAAACTTGCAATTCTCCTGCCTCAGCCTCCTAGAGTGCTGGGATTATAAATAAGCATGCACCACTATCCCCTCCTCTGCAGTATAATGGCCTACCTCTATACTCAAACAGCCAAATCTCCCTAATCAATTCCTCTTTTCTCTTCTCTCCTCTTTCTCTCTTTCTCTGTCTCTCTCTCTCTCTCCCCCCCCCCCCCCCCCCCACTCTATCTCTATCATCTCTATCTCTACCTATCTCTATCTTGCCAGGGTCTTACTAAATCATCCAAACTAGCTGGCCTTGCACTTGCAATCCTCCTGCCTCAGCCTCCTGAGTATTTAGTATTACAGGCATCCACCACCATACCTGGCCTTGAATTTGCTCCCTGAACACCATTTCCTCATCTGCAAAGCATAGATAAAATAAGACAGTGGGCACAGTGCTAAGTGGCACACAGAAGCCCCAGTAATAACCAACATGGTGACACGTTGATAATAATGTATTTTGTCTGTTAATTTTTTATTGTGTAAATGTACAAACAACAAAAAAGTTGAAAGAACATTACAGTGAACACCTGTGTATCTCATCTAGACTTACCCACCATGAACATTTTGCAGCATTTATGTTCCCTGTGTTTACCCACAAGCGGGTTACCCAGAAATTTCTTGTTCTGGAGAGTATTTAAGGTATCTATCTAGTCACATGTTAATAATGTATTATGTACTGGAAAATTGCTAAGAGAATAGATTTTATTTTTTTATTTTAAAGAGAATAAAAAACAGTAACAAAATAACAACAACATAGACAAAAACAAAACAAAGCAAAAACAATAAAAATGATACAGGGTTTCAAAGCAGAATGATAGGAATTAACAGTGGCTGTTGCATTACATATTGTTATCTTCAACAAAGTTGCTCAGATTACCAGATGTAAGAATGCAAGATTGATCAAACCATTAAAGAGAATAAAAAATAATTTTAAAAAACATTAGAAACAATACAGAGCTTCACTATACAAGATGGTAGGAATCACTAGTGGTTGTTATATTGCATATCGTTGTCTTCAAATTAGTTGCTCAGATGACCAGATAGAAGCATGCAAAATTCATCAAAAAGTATTTAAGCATTAACTGTTCCTTTCAATAAACCATTAGAATATATATATTCCCTTCTTTCTTGAGGATAGATTTTAAATGTTGTACCTCAAAAACTATGAGTAAGAATGAGGGGCCAGGCATCATGGCACACACATCCCAGGACTCAGACAGGCTGAGGCAGGAGGGTCGAATGAGCCCAGCCTGGGCAACTTAGTGATTTAGCAAGAGCTTGTCTCAGAAAAATAAAGCCAGATGTGATGGTCCATGCCTGTAATCCCAGCACTCAGGAGGCCGAGGCATAGCCAAAGCTACCTAGTGAATCTGAGGCCAGCCTGAGCTGCATAGCGAGACCCTGTCTCCAAAGAAAAACAGTGGTCAGGGTTGGGGTGTGTCTCAGTGGTACAGCACTTGCCTGGCTTGCACAAGGCTCCAAATTCCATCCCCAGCACTACAAATTAAAATAATAATAACAATAATGGCCCCTCATTATAATTATTACAAGAGGGTTGTGACACTTTACAGCTGAAGGGTGTTCTTGGGAGAAATACCACTTCCTATTGTTTTGTTTTGTTTTTTGGTTTTTTATTTCCGGTACCGGGAACCGAACTCACGACCTTGCGCTTGCCAGGCAAGCGCTTTGCCGCTGAGCTAAATCCCCAGCCCCTACCACTTTCTATTAACTTTGCGATGGATTTTATCCCTGTCTCTTATTCCAGCCTGGCCCCTAGCACAATGGTATTTTGCGTTCTCAGGATAAACTATTTTGTACTTGTTCCGTTTAAAATGGAAATTAAACGCTACCTGCTTACTTCTCAGTGGCATAGTGAGGATTTAACAAGGTGTGTAGGAAAAGGTTTTAACACAAGGTGTGGGACGCGCAAAGCCCTCGATAAATATCAGCTACTGTTGTTATCAGCTTTATCGTTATTTTCAGACCTACAGATTTCCACCGCCCCCGCCGCCACCAGCACCGCCCCTTGGTGCGGGGGACTGAACCCAAGGCTTCTCACAGGCTCAGCACCTGCTCTACCACCCAGCTCCACCTGCAGCTCAAACAGACGATCCGGAGCCACGGACAGCCGCTCCGCCAGTGCACAGTGACCCTGACTTGCTTCTGAGCCTCCCCGCCTGAGCCTCAGCTTCCTTATCTGTAAAGCGGCTGTCCTAAGTGGACTTCCCTCAGCACTTCTGAGACCTAAAAGAGGTCACGTTATTTTTATCTGTGCCTCTACACCTTCCTTCTTCCACTCCAGGCATTTCTGTCCTCTCGCATTCCAGCGCTCACCTTGGCACCGCGAGTGAGCCGTCGGCGTGTGTGGGTTCACAGCGCCTCCTGGCGGCCGGGAGAGTCACTCGCTCCTGGACAAATTAGCTATTTAGCAAGAGCTCATCGAAGAGGAGGAGGAGGAGGAGGAGGAGGAGGAGGAGGAGGAAGAGAAGGGGGAGGGGGAGGGGAGGGGAGGGGGAGGGGAGGAAGAAGAGCTAGAGAGAGGCCTAGCTCAGTGTGAAGGCCTGGGTTGGATGCCCAGTAATGGAAAAAAGTATATGATGATTCAAATACACATGATCTCAATATGATGCCAGGTAGGCATTGTGGCACATGCCTGTAATCATAGAAGTCTTACAGGCTAAGGCAAGAGGACTGCAAGATCAAGCCCAGCCTGGATAAATGATTGACTTAGGAAGACTCTAATTTTAAAATTTAAAAATGGGCTAGTGACGTAGCTCAGTACGAAGGCCCTAGGTTTGGTCCCCAATTATGCCAAAAGAATTTTAAAATTAAATTAATAAATAAGGTAATAAACATGGTTTGGGTATAAAATATATATAAATATTCTAGGTGTGGTAGCACATGCCTGTAGTCCCAGCTAGTGGAAAGATTGGGGCAGGAGGATTGCTTGAGCCCAGAAGCAGGACACTGGCCTGTAGTGGATTGACAGCTGGTGGTCAACTTATAACCCCCCGCTGAACTGAGTAAGTGTGATGCTGGGTGTGGGAGGTCACCTGGGGACTGTTACAGCAGCATAAGAGGCAGGGAGAATAAGGCTGTTGGGAGCAGAAAAATGCTGTTAGGAGCTGGTAGAAGCTGTAAGGAGCTGTTGGTTGTTTTGGAGGAGCTCGTCAGGCTGGCTTTCCTGATGAAATTGGCTATTTTCATCCTCCAAGGAGCTCGGGACCTTGTTGGCCCTGAGAATGGCTTTGGTTCACTTTGGGGGAGCTCTGGTCCTCACTTTGAGCATCGCTTCCTGGCTCCAGAGGGGAAGATGGTGCACTGCCGGTCTCTGGGAGAGGCTTGCTGCATTGGCTTCCCTGATGGGAGCTCAGCCATCTTGATCATGGGAGGAGCTCGGGACCTCACTGTTGCTGAGGATGGCTGTGGTACCTTTCGGGGGAGCTCTGGTTCTTCTAAGTGTCGCTTTCTAGTTCCAGTGCAGATCCCTCAGCCTGCTGGCACAGGTCCTGCATCCCGCTGGCACAGACTTCCTAGATTCCACCACTGACCTTTGGGCCTTCCCAGCACAGATCCGTGAAACAGGCTTGCATGAGACATTGTCGTGGGCTCTGGGCCTCCAGCTGGATTCATGGGAGGCATTGTTATGAGCTCTAGGTCTTCAGCTGGACTTATGCAGGACATTTTCATGGGATCCAGGCCCTAGGCTAGATTCCTTGGCCTTAGTGTGTGGATAAAGCCACACACTCAGTGATAAAGCCCTTAGAGTACAGATTTCCTGCACTCTTTTGCATATAGTTCTTTGGGTGATTATTATAAATAATCATATAAAATATGTGTACTGTATTATATTATTCCCCTTGCAAAAATATCCTCCAAACCAACATGGGCATAAGCAACATAGTAAGACCCAGTATTTAAAAAAAAAGAAAAGGTATAGATGATACTGAGAAGATAAATTAGGTAATTATGTTAATATCATTAAGGACTAAGATCTTCAAATTAAGGAAAAGGGAGTCCTGATGTTCTGTTGGTATAGAAAAAACAAGAGATTTGAATATTTTCATGGTGCACATCTGTGATACACACACGTAGGAGGCTGAGGCAGGATTGCTTCAAGTTCAAGGCCAGCCTGAGCTACAGAGTGAGTTCAAGCCCAGCCTGGACTACATAGTGAGACCCTATCTCAAAAACTAAAAAATTTTTAAAAAGGTAAATTTGGGGAGAGATAGATATGTTTAACCTGATTTAAACATAATACGGGGCTGGGGATTTAGCTCAGCGGCAAAAGCACCTGCCTGGCAAGCGCAAGGTCGTGAGTTCGGTTCCCGGTACTGGAGAAAAACTAAAAAAAAAAATAAACATAATACAATGTATCTATGTACCGAGATGTCACATGGTATCCCATTAACCTGTCTATGAAGACATAAAGGTTTTAATTTAGGGGTGAGATTATGGCTCAGTGATAAAGCCCTTGACTAGCATGCATAAGGGCCTAGGTTCAATCCCCAATAGGGAAAAAATGGATATATAAAAATACATAAATATATAATATAAATATATATAAAATAGAAATAAAATATATTTAAATATATACATAATGAAAAAATAATGAGCTGGTTCTTGGCATTTTGAAAGGGGACCCTGGGTATCATGAGATGCCCTGACACGCTTGGTCATAGTTTCATGGCTATGTCAGAATCTAAGGCTGAGATACTAACAAGGGCTTGGAAAAGTAAGCAAATGGGTGGCAAAGCAGTTGTCACCTTCCAGAAAGCACGCCTGTAAGGGGAGGGAGATGTGGTTATAGGTCACCGGCCCAGCCGGGGACTGTCACAGTCCTGACAACGCAAACATGTGCTAGTGAGTGAGCTCCAGTGAGTGATAAACTCAGCTGAGCTGCGGGGAGGGGAGGAGCAGGCGCTGGCGGGAACTCTCCCCCACAGCAGCCCAGACCGTCCTGGAGGGGTCCCTAGGAGACTGAGGCCCTGGAATTTCCTATGGGTGCTTCCCACTTCTTAATGCCTGGAATCTGCAGCAGGTTCCATGATGTGATGAAGACTTCACAGAAATGATCGAGCTAAGACACTGACAGGGTGATCTGGTTGTGGTCCAAGGTGATCGCAGGAATTTTGTTGTTGTGTTTTGTTTTCATTTGGGGGTTGTTTTGTCTTGTTTTGTTTTGTTGCAGAGCTGAGGATCTAAACCAGGGTCTTACACATGCTAGGCAAGTGTTCTACCACATACTACCGGTCATATCCTCCAAGGCCTTTTGTCTGCTTGTTTGTTTCGGTTTCATTTTTGTTTTTTCTTTGGTTTTGGTTTGGTTTTGGATTTGGTTTGGTTTGGTTTAGTTTGGTTTGGTGTAGATCTTAGCCTCAATAAGTGATCTTCCTGCTTCAGCCTCCCAAGTAGCTGGGATCACAGGCATTCACCACAGCCCAGCAGCCACAAGGGTCTTTGTAACAGGGCAGCAAAGCTACGACATGAGGAGCAAAGACAGGTGTGGAGCCAGGGAGCACAGCAGCCTCTAGGTTCTCCCCTGGACCTTCCAGAAGGGCTCAGCCATGCCGACACCTTGATTTTAGCCTCCTATGATTCCTTGCAGACTCCTGACCCTCCAGAGCCGTAAGAAAAGAAAGCTGCATTGATGTCTGCCTCTCAGTCCATAGCAGTTTGTTAAGCAAACCCTGGAAACCAATGCACCGGAGTATCCGGTCCCTCTGGAAGAGGAGGCAGGGAAGGCCCAGCGCCTGGCTGCCCCCAGGCCTCAAGCCCCGCCCCGCTGCAACCCTGCAGTGGCTTTTGTGCGACAACAAAGAGATGGCAAGTCTCCCCCATCACGCCGTAGGTTCTCTGCCGCTGGACCTTTGCAGAGCTCCCCACCTCTTTCTGTGGCTGGAGCTGGGGTTCAGGGTAGATCCAAGCTCAAGATGGGCTCCAAGGCCTGGGTCAGCAGCCAGCTTGTGCCTGGGGACAGGGCGCAGGTTGCTGACTTCACTCTCCTGCCACGTGTCCACTCCCTCAAGTGCCACTGCAGAACCCAAACTATTGGGGGACCTGGACTGGGCTTCCTCAAGAGTCATCTCAGCCATGTCCCTGTCTTATAAAGAAATTTTTTGAGAGTAAGAAACTCACTCAACTTGGTAAGTGCCCCTGTTGCCCTAGAGCTCCCCCCATCCCAGCCCTCCCACCTACCCTCTAACTCCCCATCCCACCCCACCCCGGATATTGGGGACTGAACCCAAGACCTTCACACTGAGCTACATCCCCAGCCCTTTTTTTATTTTTTATTTTGAAGCAGGGTCTCTCTAAATCATTAAATTTCCCAGAATAGACTTGAGCTCACAATCCTCCTCCTGCCTCAGCCTCAGAGTACTGGGATTATAGGTGTGCACTACCACCCCCAGCTCCCTGGGGATTGTTTTTGTTTGGTTGGTTGGTTGGTTTGGTTTTTTTGTTTTATTTTTAATCTTCCAAAGAACATGTGGCAAACTCCTGGATATCAGAATGTCAACAGGGAGAGGCACCTACTCCCCAAAACCCCACCCCGGTTGCAGCTTCCTCCCCACACTTTGGCCCATTTTCCTGGGTGGATGGCCTTGTGTGATCCATTTCCTGACCCTGGCCCAGGGCCCTCCCTTGCAAAACAAGAGCGATGAATGAGCTAGCCTCTCGGACTAAAATTCTATGATTCTGAAAGCCAAGTCTCCAGGAAGTATCACACAGGCTTTGGGTTCAAAGAGATGTGGGGCTTTGGCCCTAAGCTTGAGAGTTATGGTCTGAGCAGCCTTGAGAAAATAACCAAACTCTCCTCAGTTTCCTCACCTGTTAAATGGGAATTAAACAAGGCAGTGCCTCTTAAGTGTTTGAGTAGGACCTGGCACCACACCTGTCCATATGTCATTGCTGACGTGTTTGTTGTGATTATTTGTCACTAGGTCTGTGCTAGTACACAGCAAGGGGGAACCAGGTCCCTTCAGGACAGTGCCTGACTGACAGGTATTTAATCAGGGATACATATGTATACCTAGAAGAGTCCCTGAAGATTTTCCTTGAGATAGACAGATATGAGGACAAGTTAAAGGAAATTAATGCCCAAATCCTCATCTTTTAAATTGACAATTCCAACCTAGGCATGGTGTCCTGTACCTGGAGTCATAACTACTGGGGAGGCTGAGGCAGGAGGATCATCAGTTTGAGCTCAACCTCAAAAATGAAAAAAAAAAAATTTTTAATAAATGAGGTGCTTGAGACGTAGCTCAGTGGCAGAGTGATCACCTAGCATGGGTAAGGTCCTGGGTTGTATCCCCAGTACTGCATGAAAAAAGAAAAAAAATTAGGTAATAAATCGTTTGATAATAGCCAATCATGGTAGCACACTCTCTTTTAAAAAAAAAAAAACTTTGTTCTTTTGAAGCTGCCTCACTCTGTAACTGCTTCGTGACTCTGTAATTACTTTCTTGACCCCCTATAACTGCAGGAGCATAACCAAACATGCAGGATGTCCGACTGTAACAAGCTCCATGATCACTAATCTAGCCTTCTAACCCATGATCTCCCCCTGCCAGGTAATCAGAGAACTGCCAGGCTGTTCCATCTCTCCTTTGTACCTCCTGCTTATGCCTCATATAAAAGTAGTGGCCCGTAGGCCCTGGGTGCCTGGCTTCGTTGTGGGAACCGAGCCCAGCCAGGACCACCAGCGTAAAAGAAAGTTGTTCACCGCCTCCTGACTTCCTCGGGTGTCGTTCCTTTCCCGGACTCAGTTTTGCCACAACAGCGGAACTACATCACGAGACCCTGTCTCAAAAAACAAAATAAGGGCTGGGGATTTAGCTCAGCGGCACAGCGCCTGCCTGGCAAACACAAGGTTGTGAGTTCGATTCCCAGTACGGAAAAAAAATTTTAAAAATAAAACAAAATTCTACGAGAGCAGGGTGCCTTGGCTCTTCATCTGTGTTTGCTGGCATACCGCTCCTAGAACCCTTGGACTCTCCAGAGTGATAAGAGCATCTTTTGTACACTAAAAACATAACCGGAGACAGGACAGCCCTGGGATGAGGGCAGGATTAGAGGGCTGGGCTTTCGGCACAACCTCAACCTTCAAGGAGGGGAAACGGTGAAGGTTGAGTTGCTCACCCACGGCCCATGATTTTTTCTTTTTTTTTTTTTTGTTTTGAGACAGGGTCTCACTGTGTAGTTCAGGCTGGGCTTGAACTCACTACGTAGCCCAGGCTGACCTACATCTCATGGCAATCCTCCTGCGTCAGCCTCCCCAAGTGCTGGGATTACAAGCATGCACCACCACACCCAGGTTGTTCGTCTATATCTTTTTTTTGTTCTGAATGTTAAAACCTGTCTTTGTGTTTGCACTGAGCTGCACCACCAGCTCTTTTTATTTATTTATCTATTTTTAAACAGGGTCTCACTAAATCATTAAATGCCCACACTGGGCTGAAACTTGTGATCCTCCTGCCTCAGCTTCCCAGAATGCCGGGGTTACAAGCATGTACCACCATGCCTGGCTCATCTGTAGCCTTTGTCATGCTATACAGTAAACCAGGAAGTATCAATAAAGTCTTTCCCTGAGTTTCTGTGAACCATGACAGCAAACTAGTTGAACACTAGGGCGGTCATGGGAGCCCCATTCTGACCAGTCAGTCAGAAGCACAGGTTAAACAACCTGGGCTGTGGCTGTGTCTGCTGCGGGGGCAGAAGCGGGGAGGTCCTGAAGGATTGAGACTCACCCCGTAGGATCTAACCTCATCATCAGGTAGGGCGCCCGTCTGGTTTCTGCTGCAGAACTGCTTGGGCGAACAACCTCTGTTGAGGGGTCACACAAGGATTCTGTGTTGTAAAAATGTAAAGTAGAAAAAACACAGTTGGGTTTTTCCTGTGTCTCATATAGTCTTCCTGACAGGCCTTGTTCTGCCTGACCCTTTTTTTTTTTTTGGCTTTCAATTGTATTCAACTAAAATGAAAGAACTAGACATAGTGTAATCCCAGCACCCAAGAGGCTGAAGCACAAAGATCACAAGCTTGAGCCCATCCTAGAAGCCCTGGAGACTTAGTGGGATTCTGTCTGAAAATTAAAAGTTTGATAAAGATGTAGATCAGTGTGAATACCTAGGTTCAATACCCAATACTGCCCAAAGGTGGGGCGGTGGGTATAGCTCAGTGATAGAGCCCTGGGTTCAATCCCCAGTATTACTAAATAAATAAATAAGTATCACCAAAACTGACGCCAGAAGAAATAAATACGAATGCTCCCAAAGTGATTAAAGAAATTAAATCTATAATTAAGTACCTTTCCTTTTTTCTTTTTTGGGTGTCAGGAATCGAACTCAGGGCCTTGCATTTGCCAGAGAGGCGCTTGTGCCACTGAGCTATATAATATTTCTGATAACTTCACTAGTGAGTCTTATTGACTGTTTAAGGAATGACCTTACACAAACCATATGATAACCTTACACAAACTCTTTCCAGGTGAGGGAGATCAAAATATCCCAACCCAGATGTATTTCTGTGGAGTATTTCAAGTTGGCTGTGCAGAGAAACTGCTGCAGATCTGCCTCCCCTGCTAGACTCAGCCCCCGACGTGAGGACTGCATCCTCTCCAATGCATGCCCAGGACCCCCAGCCCCGCCTGGACACAGCTAGCTCAGATCTGCAAGTAAGGAGCTAAGGGGAGACACTTCCCAGGCCGTTCATGCCTTCCATATCCTTGCCCTCTCATCTCCTCCACTCCCCGCATTCTGAAAGCTGGGGCGCATAAAGAACGGGATTAAATGGAGATGAAGTTTACTTTAGCTTTGGAGACACGGGTGTGTAAATGGGATCATCGGTTCCCACGCAGCAACGCACGGGGTCCAGTAACCTTTCCCCTGCTCTTTGAAGGCGGGTCTTGCCTTCTACAAAGTTTGAAAAGAACAGAACCAGCCCGGGCTGGTTCAGGCAGCTTAAAGAAAGCGTGAGTAACCATAGGAGTCACCGAGACTGACCGAGGGTGCGGGCTGAATGGCCAGCCCACTGCAGAGGAAAAGCTGGAAGGGAGAGAGGGAATTTTAATGCAGTCTTTGAAATTTGCAGCCAGGGATATAGTTCAGCGGCACAGCGCCTGCCTGCAATTTGTCACGCACCCATAATCGCCTGCAGCTTGGGTAACTGACTTCTATGAAAAACTATAACGAGGTGGAGATAATAGCAGCACCCACGTCATGCCTGTTGTAAGATTCTGGCGCAACCCAAGACCCAGAACAAGCGTCTGGAACTTTCGCTGGCCTGCACACTGTGTGCCAGGATTCGCCTAAACGTAGCACAGGCATGCATCCCACGATCCCTGTAATCCCCTGAAGGAAGTACTAATACGCCCATCATACCTGCCCATGAGGGAATCCAGAGGTCAAGTCACCTGCCCAAGGTCACACAGCTCCTCGAGGTCAGTGCAGGGTGTGCTCTGGAAGCAGGGAAGGAGAGAGTGACTGGCCATCTCTGATTTCCTCCACCAGCCTCCTTCCAGCGTTTTCTGTCCCTCTCTGGACCATCTTCCTCCTCACCTGTACCAACTGCGACCCGCAATTGCTCGAGCCCGAAACAGTGGCCTGAGCCTGGGGGCGCCCCCTGGTGGCCGCTATGCGTAGCGCGGTAAAGCTGAGGAGCACGCGGGGAGAGGGAGCCGCCAGGCGAGGGTCCCGCTGGGATACGGGAAGGTGGATGTCAGCGTGGAGTTCACTCATTCGTTTCTTCATCTCGGCCCAGTGCAATCACTCTATACTAGGCGGCCAGAAGTGGAGCAAAACAGCTCCAGAGAGCAGTGGGAGAGAAAGGGAAGGAGGGAAGGACAGATGAGTAACTGACATCTCACAGCACTTGGGCATCGTGTGACCCTGGCCAAATGTTTCTGCCCTTGAGCCTCAAACCCCTCAGATCAGGATGTGAATGGCGGATTACTTTCCAAGAATTCGTGGGAGCCCGGAATGGCACGTGCCTGTAACCCCAGCACTCCGGGAAACTGAGGCAGGAGGCTCAAAAGGTCAAGTTCAACCTGCCCGATTTATCAAGCCCAGCTCGAGATTAAAAAATAAATAAATAAAAAATAAAAAGGGCTGGGGATGCAGCTCGTCGTGAAGGCCCTGGATTCAGTTCCCCGTGTTGGGAGAAGTGGGTGTGAGTAGTGTTACAACCTCCGGAGGAAAACACAAATTAAACAACTTGGCCAACGCGGCACAGAGAGGCAGTGGCGGCAGCAAGGGCAAAGAGTTGAATTTAGGCAGATCCTGTGCCCTAAGGTTCCCAAAAGGTTCTACCGTCCCTTCATTTCACTTCCAAACGTTCGCTGCTCCTTTTGAAAGCAAAACCGTTAAGCTCACGCCCCGGCAGGCTCCTTTGAAACAGCCTCCGCCCCTCTTGCAGTAAGCGAACCAGTTGATCCACATATTTTTAGCCATCAAGACAGTTCTTGCCCTAGGAGAAATCCCAAGCCAGATGTGGAAACCAACAGGCACCTGGGGTGAAGAAGACCTGTCTCTCCCCTCCCCGGCCCTGGTCCAGGCGGTGAAGCCAGGGTTAGACAAATCGTCGCGGTCAAGCAGTTTCCAGAGCAGAGGGTGTCGGGAGAGCCGGCCTAGGCCTAAGCGGGAGCTCCGGCAGCAGCCTGGGTTGGAGCAGGCAGAGGGGGAGGAGCCGGGAGATCAAAACCAAATGCGAGAGGCAGACATCAGACCCCCATGACTCAGGCTTCGGAAATGAAAATCTCCAGCCAGAGAAAGAGGAAAGGGCACTAGGAAAGGAAATGGCTAACAAATCAAATCTGTCAGGGGTGGGGGAGGGATGTGTGTCAAAGTCACTCTGTGAAACATCTTCCAGGATTTAAAACAGAGACCCAGAGCCATATAAATGGATATGGACAAGCCGCAAACGCTGAAGAAAACATCCAGTTGCAACAGAGTGAGTGCACGGTCTGATGTGGGCTGCGCTGGGTAAACAGCTTCCTGTGTTTGTTTTTGCACTGTTGAACCCAGGGCCTTTGCACTGAGCTACACATCCCAATAGCCTTTTGGTGTTTTGAGACAGGGTCTCACTATATAGCTCAGGATGGCCCTGAACTCACTATGTAGCCCAGGCTGGTCTTGAACTTACAACGACCCTCTTGCCTCAGCCTTCTGAGTACTAGGATTACAGGGGTGCACAACCACACAGCACTGCTTTTTTATTTTTGAGACAGAATCTTAAATGGCCTACAGAGTTCAAACTTGAGGTCCTCCTTTCTTAAGCTTTTAAAATATTTTTGTTTTGGTGTTTTATGTTGTTTTTAGTTGTTTTTTCGGGGGGGGGGTGGTTTGGCTTCAGTTTGGATTTGGGCGTTTTTTTGGTACCAAGAATCAAACTCAGGACCCTGTACTTGCGAGGCAGACACTGACAATATTTTTATATAGAAATACTTTACAGATTTTACAACATAACAAGTCATTGTGCAGTTCCACAGAAAGATGAAGAAAAAGAATCTCAAGGATTAAAAAAGAGCACCTAACAACAGATTACAGTCTCCAGAAAATTATGTAAAAGGTTAAGGCAAAGTGCCACATTGGGACTGGCATGTTGTGAACTGATTTATAAAACAGCTTTTTAAAACCAGGTACAGTAGCTAGGTGTGGTGGTGCACACTTGTAATCCCAGCATGCAGGAGGCTGAGGCAAGAGGATCACTATGAACTCAAGGCCAGACTGAGCTACATAGTGAGGTCAAGGCCAACCTGCACTACATAGAAAGACCCTGCCTCCAAAAAAAAGTACAGAGAGCACTGGGCATGGCAATGAACATCTGTAATCTTAGCTTGGGAGGCTGAGGCAGGAAGATTGTTGTGAATTCAAGGCCAGCCTGGACTACACAGCGAAACCTTGTCTCTAAATAACAAATAAGTACACACAGATTTTTTTTGTCTATTCTCTTCAAAGACAGTTAAAAGGAAAACTAGTCTGCAATTCTTGCTCTAGAACAATGTAAATATAAGTCTTGGGCATAAAAGTGTTCTACTCCAGTGTGTTAAAAGTAAATCAAATGATTTTTGAAACCTTTCCAAGTGTGGGCTACCTTTCCATATATAATTTGCCAGGCCAAGCCTTATTCTTTTTAGTCTAAGAGAGGTATCACTATCATTAATGATAGTGGAAGAAACCCAGCATGGTGGTACACACCTGTAATCCTAGCAATTGGGAGGCTGCAACAGGATTGCTGTGAGTTCAAGTCCAGCCTAGGTTATACAGTGAGTTCAAACCTGGCCTGAACTATATAGTGAGACCCTGACTCAAAAATAAACAAACAGAAAAGCTAATGATAGTGGCATAGGTTAAACTAGGATCTCACTTGTGTGTAAGTTTTCGCTTCTACTTTCTATGGCCAAACTACTGACTACTTAAACTTCTTATGCATTTACTACATTATAAATCTACTTTATAATTTTATGAAGGGCTATATATGCTTAATACAATATTTTGCCTACCTGATAATAAAAATACAAGAATCCTTTTGAAATTAATTTTCTTTTTTTTTTTTGGGGTGGGGAGTGGAGTACCAGGAATCAAACTCAGGACCTTGCCCTTGCCAGGCAGGCGCCTGTGCCGCTGAGCTGTATCCCCGGCCCCTGATCTTTCTGAAATTAAACAACAAATCTTATTAGAGAATTTTATCCAGGTTCTTCATTTTTCCGTACATCAAATCCCTGAAGAGCAATAGGCTCAACAAGGATAATCCTGGTTATCAAAAGTAACCTTCGTAATTGGAGAAGAACTTGTGTTTACTATAACTGATAGTTAAAATGTAAAACAAGGCAATTAACCTGGTTTGAACAAGAGTGAGCTTTAGAGAAAACTGCCTTAAGTGAAGTCTAGTACAGAGAATAAATAGCAAGCAAAGCATAATTTAATTCACATGATTAGCTACTGTTTCATGTAAAATTGTATCTACTCAGAAGAACAGGGAAATTCAGCCTAATCATGAGAGTCGCTCTGTACTTAAACATTTTCTTATTTGTTTTCTCTGTACCTAAATGAAAGGCTAATTAACCAGTGTGTTTTGCCAACTAAGGTTTCCTAAATAGTTCTTTGCCATCAAGGCCTCAACGCTGTGGTGAAACCAGGGCGAAACACCCAGGCATTTATCGGAAATCTGAAGTACAAAATAAGCACGTGCTCTATACAGTCTCATGACAAGAACAGCAAGAGTTAAACTGTTTTGGTAGGCTTGTGTTTGGTTGGTTGGTGGGTTGGTTTTGGTTTTGGTCTTTTTGAGACAGGGTCTCGCTGTGCAGTTCAGGCTGGCCTGGAGCTCACTTTGTAGCACAGGCTGGCCTCAAACTTGCAATGATCCTCCTGCCTCAGCCTCCAGAGTGCTGAGATTACAGTTGCATATCACTGTGCCTGGATCAAGTTAAACTGCTTTATGCAACACATGTATTGGTTTGATTTGTCACCTGAGACTTCTTTTTCCTGAGAACTGCAAACAAAGAACTGGTTGCCCAGAGTTTTCCAGGCAAATTGGAAAAACATGATGTGGCCCATTGCCAGAAAGAGGCTGGAATCAACAAGAGCAAGCCAAAAGCTTCAGGATTTGAAGCCAGGATGAGCGTGATGAAATGCAGAACATCGAGAAGACAGTTCTGTACACCGTTTATAATGCCTCTTTCAGACTCATTTATGTTCTCTTTTTTTTTTTTTTTTTTTTTTGTCTTTTTGAAACAGAGTCTTGCTATGCAGTTTATGCTGGCCTTGAGCTCACTTTGTAGCCCAGGCTGGCCTCAAACTCACAGCGATCCTCCTGCCTCAGCCTCCCAAGTGCTGGGATTACAGGCGTGCGCCACCACGCCCGGTTTCATTAATGTTCTCTTGCAGCAACTGTGTCACAATTAAATCAAAGGACCAGTGTAGCAGCCAGAACATCCACAAATAGCAGACCAATGGAGACTGCAGGCACAGGTTTAGTATTCACCTCCAGAACAGTATTATCAGTACTGGGTCCATGTGACACATGCATCTCGGTGGTAAAGATGGTTTTGTATTCTGGTAGTTGGGGACAGTGGTTCTCCTCAATGAGCCAAGAATGAATATGTTCAAAAGGAGAAACGGACAAGTCCAAAGGGCTTCCAGGCATGAACACAGAGATCACACAAGATCAAACGGGAAAGCTGTGCCAATCCCGAGATCAGACCCATCCAAACCAGGCCACATTTTCATCGTAACCAAGTACAAGCCATGGTTCCCATTATTCCAGTTATAGCAGATGTTCTCATGGAGACACTTGGAGTGAATCACACAGTGCACCCCCCGCATGCAAGCGTACCCCATGGTAATGCAGTCAGAGCCCAGGATAGTCATAAAAAGGAAAGCAAAACATTCTGCATGCTTGTGTGTGGTAATCTGAGCAATTTATGTGACGACAACAATTTGCAGTATAACATCCATTGGTGAATTCCCACAATCCTGCCCAGTGACACTATGTACTGTCTCTAATGTTCTTTTAAATTATTATTTTCTTATTCCCTTTAATGACTTGATCAGTCTTCTTACATCTGGTAATCTGAGCAACTTCGTTGAAGATAACAATATGTAATATAACAACCACTGTTAATCTCTATCATTTGGTTTGAAACCCTATATTATTTTTAATGTCCTGGCTTTGTGTTATTTGTATTTTGCTATTGTTGGGGGTTTTTTGGTACCGTTTTCTTTAAAATAAAAAATATTTTTAAAAAAAGGAAAGCAAGACCCATACTAGCCGGAAACTCCAGCCAGTTGCAGGAGGAGACCCATCTCGGAGGGTGTGGATGGGCTGTGTTATCTGGCGCACACAGATAATGGAGTTCAGTAATGCTGGTGTCTCTCACCCAGTGGATAATTTTCTCAAATAAAACCCAACTGGGACTATAATATTCAGAATGAACTAAGCACAAGGTCTAAAATGAATGGCTACTCTTGTCATGGAGTAAAAAGATGCACTAAAAGACCTGTTCATTATAAAAAGGTGAGAGAGGTTACACAGGACAAAGAGAAAAATCCTGCTGTCTTACGTAGCTGATCAGTAGACGTTTTCTGTAAATATGCAAACTTAGATCCAACTTCCAAG